AAAAAAATCTACAATTTTAATTCAATTATAAAAAATTGCACTTCGAATAAATTGTGCACTATCAATAAATTATTTACAAATATTTACGTATAGCAAATATTTATAAAACACTATTAATTTTGAAAGAATCAAATCGCGCTATATATTTTCATACTACAGATGGAAAGGGCGATTTTGCTAAAATTTCTGAAAATTCATAGATATAATCTAGTTCATAGATATAATCTTCTAGATATAAATCTGATAAAAATTTTGTTAAACTATCAAAATAATTTTATAGAAATCTCAAGCATATGAATAAAATGTTTCGACATTATAACAACTAGTTTAAAGTCCTACATAATTATTTTAATAATCTAGCAAAATTATTTTCATATTTATATCTAAGTTAAAGCTTTAAATATTTCAGTAAAGCCTTTCTCTCTGTACAAAAGTAATTTGATTACTTGTGTTCCACCATCGCTTAAAATTATCATAATTATAAGTAATATAATAATTTCTTTATTTTCCCTAAAAGATGAAGATTTTCTTCTGTAAAAAATAAAACCGATCTCAGCCATCATGCCCAACGAGAATGCAACAAAATGGAGTGAAAGAGAGTTGTGAGTGCGAGGCGTTAATAAGCGGCGTCGATATTCACAGACGGATTTGATATTCTACGCAAACTGTCAATCGATGCTCTTTTATCGCAGCGGGTCATGCGCATAGCGTCGTAATATATAGCCACTTATTTTTCCGAGGATAAGCAGAAGAGGAGAAGCGCGCTCGTTCAACCGTTTCTGACGATCGCTTTAGCAAAAGCATTGTTGAAGTTCAATGTACCTCAATAAATCATGCAATTGTTAAGAAAATCGCAGAATAACGTCGAGACTCTGGCATGGCGTCCTCGCTTTGATAAGCGTACTTACTCCGTCATACAGCCACAATAAAATCATTGACCTCATTTCATGCGTAAATTTGCAATAGCGAGCTGTATTAAAATAATACTTCAGTTTGAACAAATAAATAAATTAAATTAAATATTAAAATAAAATTAATCATGAAAATAAATAGTAGAGGTATAAAATTTATTATATTAATTCATCTACAAAAATATGTTAAATAAAGTTAATTGTAAAAATAAGTAATTTTTAAGCAATTTTTAGGATACAAAATTCATTATATTAAAAATTTAAATATTAATAGGGCTGTCGAAATTAAAAATAATAATAATAATAGAGTACAGGCAATGAGAGTAATACAGGGAATTGGTGCGCAATTCATATAGTAGTCAAATAATATTCACATAATATATTAATAATCTGCAATGATTGTGGATACAAATTTCTTTTAATTGCGCACCAATTCCCATGCTGCATTAATTAACGCTCTCATTGCCCATACATTCTATTATTATTACTTTTTATTATAGTAATTCATTCATACAGAAATCTATTCAGAAACATATTCGTACACTGAAAGGGAAGATTGGCTGCTGCAACAAATTAGGTGGTAAAATATGGTATAGCATTTTTAATTGACTGCTGTAATTGATTAAAAATGCTATGACATATTCAGCTAAGCTTTTCTTTCAGTGTAAAGTAATAAGAATTAATGTAATAAGAATTATTAAAAATGTAAAACACATATAATTTATAACATTATATACGCTACATAAAGCGTAATGCGATAAAATGACAGTTAATGGTAATCATCGTATTGATAATCATCGTATCATATAATATAATACGAATTATACACGCTTCTCTCCGCGTAAATAATAATCAGGAAAATGCATACACTTTTATAGTATACCTCTTCTCATAAATCCTTCTTCTCTTTATAAGCGCTCGCTTTGTTTGAAAATCTTGCCAATTTTACGTGTGGACGGAAATACGTGTTCTCGGATTCTCACGAGCGTTCGCGCGAGAAGCACCCGTTGTTCCTGGATAACCTTTTGAACCTTTTATTCTATTTGCAATTTTGCAACAACCGATATTCTAAAAGGGACTCCTGAATAAAACATGCGACAGCAAACTTCACTGACGTAAAAAATAGATTTTCCTGTGCAAACAATATGCGCTCATAATGCACGTTCAACGAGTGAATTTGCGCAATGGAGATTGTATGTAAAGCTTAAAAATACTCTGCAACGCAATGATATAAATTTTTCTGTTCCATTTATCCCCTTTTATATGCTTACCATTAAAACAAGAACGTTTATCATAGCACTTCTGTTAGTAAACAATTTTCATAAAATACTAAATAGCAAATGGATTGATAAGATGGTCTAATTAAATAGTACTTGTTATCTAAGATATAATTAAAAAACTTATAGATTTGATTCAAATGATATATTTTCAATACGCATTCCAAAGAAAATTATTTGGAACATTTATCGCACTAAATAGTTTTGTCGGGCATTAAAATTACTATTATCTCGATTCAACTCATATCTGCGTATTATAAATATTTTAAGTACATTACTAAAAACTGATATTATCATCGGTGCCACGTGTAGATCTTACAAAATAAAACTAAACATTCATAATCCAATAATAAAAATATTACGTAAGAAGTAAAATATAAACAGCTATAAAATTTAAATGTCAAAATTTTTAATTTAATTTTTTATTTCTACGATATCTTCCTTCAGGGATGAAATGAACAATCGGTGATTACAAATTCCACGAACGGTTTATTGTTATGATTAATTTGTTTGAAAGTTAACTAATTCCATATATAAGTTGTAAATTTATTTGATGTATCCCATGTGCTATCAAAAAGTTTAGTAAAGGCGAACACGATTGAGAATTCGTGCACGCAAAGTTATCAGTGATCTCGACCGGTGATGCTTTGATCATGTATTGGATCGATTACACGGTCAGAGCAAGAGGTCGCAGATGAATCCTGAAACTCTGACAGCCCGCATCCATCCTAGCTGGACCAGCGATCGATTATGTTCTACTTATCCGTTCGACCGTCCATCAGGATTGTTAAAAAAAATTCGCGAGTTACAAGGATAACCGAAACTTTATCTCTCATGAGATTTTCTATTGAAATTATAAGTTGTGCGAGTAAAACTTTTAATAGGAGGCTATTAAAGTTCTTAATACGGCGTAACTTATCGTTTTCGACAAAATTATTATCTCGCAACATCAACTTCCAAGATAATTATTTTTTTTAATACAGTTATGCTAATGTAAAAGTTATTGTCAAACTCTTGTAAAGTCCTTCCTTCTCTCTCTCCCTCTTGTAAAGGTCTTTCCTTTGTGTATAATTTATATAACATTGAATGTAATGCATTTTACTAAAAAAAAATATTATTCCTAATTAAAAATAGAAAAAATTAGAAATATAATAAGATTATCTCAATTCAATATAGAAATATGTAAGTTGTTTGCATATAAGTTAGTAATAACTCGAATTAGTAGATTATTTCCGCGAAAATAAAAAATGTCTGCTGAGCACAAAGAACTGACTCAATAAACTATAATAAGTGCAAAATACAAAAATGATGCTATTATCATATTAATCAAACTGCATGAAAAGAATTGCGAAAGAGCGAAAAATTTATCGAGTGAGATTAAGAGATACGGAAAAATCCAAATCCTTATCAAGATAGCAAGACAGAAGTGTGCAGAACGATTATCACTTTGATCGAGCGATAAGAAAGGTAATATAATTAAAAAGACCCATTATAATTATATCTTTTGAACCCTAGCGCTATATACGTACATACTCATTTTTTACCCTTGACCTTAATTTACACACTCGGGTCTCTGGGGCCTCATTTATATTTTTTACCCTAACTTCCATAAAAATGGACATATTTCAATTAATTTTTTTTTCAATCGATAAAGAATTAATTAAGGAATAAGTAATATGTAAAAATCGATAGAATTGAGAAGCTTCGGAATATACAAGGTGTCTAATAATTGTTCTGACGGAATTTGTGGACATGTAGAGCAGACTAAACTGAAACGGAAAATTCTCTACCATTTTTTGCAATTTTCGCAATAGTTAACAAGATATTAATTGCTAAAAATTGCCGAAAATTGGTCTTCAATAATTTTTTACTCAAATACTCAATTTTACAGAAAAACTGTAAGAGACAAAAATTATTTATTTTCTTCTTATAGAGCTCTAAGAATTTTTTGAGAATTTTTTCAAAATTTTTTAATATCGTATTTTCTTATGTTGATAAAAATAAAAAAATACAATACTAAAAAGTTAATAAAAAATTTTGAAAAAATTCGTAAAATTCTATGAGAAAAAAAAATAATTTTCATCTCTTACAGTTTTTCTGTAAAAATTGGCAGTATTTGAGTAAAAAATTAATGAAGATCAATTTTTGGTAATTTTTAGCAATTAATATCTTGTTAATTATTGCAAAAATTGCAAAATAATAGAGGACTTTCTGTCTCAGTTTAATCCGCTCTACATGTCCGTCAGAACAATTAGCAGACATCCTGTATAGATTCAAAGAAAAAGAAAAGTTCAGGAATATGAAAAAAATCTCAATTTAGCAAATTGTACTGGGGTTTTTGAAATCCCAGTGTGTATAGCTACGTTTAATATTATAGCTACGGTTAATATTATATTACAAATTATCTTTAGTCTTAATCTAAAATTAATACTAAAGCTTATATCTAATCTTGACAGATACTTGAAAGATACTTTAAATGAAAAATCGTGAATCAAAAAATTCTTTACAAATATAAAAAATTATAAATGCGACTGAATAAGTTATTTAAATTCTTGACATTAATATTTTCAATAAAAAGAATTAATAAAGATGAAATGATATCGATTAATATACATACATGAAACATTAAATACGTTAAACATTTTGAATGAAATTACAGTGTGATACTCAACGTTATGTGCTTATCAAGATACTTATATTTGATTTATCTAATCTAGATTTCTTAAGAAATCATGTCAGTCGGTAGACTATACGGAAGAGGGGTGATGCAATTAAAAATCAGTACTACATATAAATTCGCTTCCATGCTATTTCAAATCATTCAGACAGTACTCGTACAATGGCGTTAAGAATTTTGTGTCTCCTCAGCCTTTTGGCATTTTCTCAAGGTGACTAATAATTTTCCCGGGTTAATCAATAATCATTCATTTAAGTGAAAACAAGTAGTTCTCTTAGGAGTATATGGAAGAAAAAAATGTTGTTATTCAAATAAATGATTTTCTGTGATTCGTCAATTCGATCGTTAAATATAAATAGAAACATGACAGGCGCAAAATATTATAAAGAATCTGAAATTCACCATTAAAATACAAATTGTTACTTATTATAATTCAAACCTTTATAAAATTTGTGTTTTTTTAAATTCTTTTAGCTTCATTTTACAAATACTAGTAATGATTTATCATGCATTATATTGCAGCCGGACTCCTGCCACTTTTTGATCCCAGAATCGTAAATGGAGAAAATGCGAGACTAGGCGAGATTCCGTATCAGGTACACATTATTATATAAAATATTTATTATGGAAATATTAATATATATAATATATAAAATGTGTATATACATATTGTAATATAATTAAGTTCTCGGATTGATGCCACAAACAACTCACAAGAAAGATCGAATTTATAAATCAGCATTCAATATAGTCTTCGCCTGCTTTTAAATATTTTTATCGTTTATGTTGAATGTCCAAGAAAAAACTTCCTCCGATTTGCCTTAAGTTTCCATATTCAGTGTATGGCAGAAGCCATTAGTATATTAGATGACAACAGCCTCAAATCTCATTACAATTTTTAATTTATAAAAAAAGTTAACATTAATTCAGGCGAGTATTAGTTAAGATCCCTCATTAAAAGATCAAATGATCAAAAAATAAATCAGAAGCCACTTTCCTTAAACTCAAGCTTAATGCCTGATTTAGCACCTCGCTAAATTTTTTATTTCCTAAATTAGAAATTGCAACAAAAAAGTCAAGACATGAGAATATCTCAATGTATCTCTCAAAAATCCATTAAATTTTGATGAAAACTTAATACAATTCGGAGAAGCATTCATTATACAAGTGATGTAAATGTTAGAAAGCGATAAATGTATTAAATGACAGTATTAATAAATGTTTTAATAAATATCTTCGATCTTTTTTTTGAATCATTGAATGGCCTCAGTTCGAGAACTTGTCACGCATTGTGCATATACCATATATAATATAAAAAATATCTAAATATTTTTGTGTGTGAGTATAATTAATTTTAAAAAAACAGAGATTTATTTTTAAAATCTGTTACTTTCCTTGAGTAAGGTTTGTTGTTTCATTGTATTATTGTTATTTCTTTCAAAGTGTAACTGTTTCAGTTACATATTAGCTTTCTTATAAATTAAAAACAAACATAGAAATGTTACTACAAATTAGAAATACTATGATTTCCATAGGTTTCTCTTCAATACACAGATTTTTCCTTTCACTTTTGTGGCGGCTCAATCCTGAATGATAATTATGTCATCACAGCAGCTCACTGTGTTAAAAAGTAATTTTATTAATATTTTATTATTTTTTTAATAAAATAATTGCGTATCACACTAATATAACTTGTTAGTATATTTTTTTACATATAAATATTACTTTGTTGAAATGAATTGTAAAAAATATATAAGAAATGTACCTATACGTTTACTATATATATGTATATTTCGATAAAAATGTGAACAATTAAATTTTGTGTTATAGTATAGAATCATTTAATATAAAAGTTATTGCTGGCACTATCGATTTAAGTAAACCAAAATCAGAACACAACGTCATAAAAGCCATTATACACGAAGAATATGATTCTCATAATTCTTGGATTAACGATATAGCTTTATTGCAGGTAGGCATAAATTTCTTTTTTACATGAAACATTAGACTCCTTATAAATATTTTTTCCAATTAAAAATTATAAATCTCAAGTAAAAATTGTTTTTTTTTTTTTTAGGTCGAAACTCCTTTCATAACATCTAAGACTGTCGGGCATGTTCCTTTGCCACCAAAAGGTTTTAATGTTAAAACCAATGATGTAGCCATTGTGTCGGGATGGGGCAGACTCTGGGTAAATCTTTCTAGCTGTTTTAAATATCTATATATTTAACTGTACATCTGTAATTTGCATATTGATACACAAAGATAGTGATTATTTATATTTTATTTTTATAATATCTCTTGAGATTTAGAATACAGAACTACAATATCCAGTATACAAGGAATTGATAAGAAATTAATATTATTAATAATATTATATATTATTATTAATATTATTCAAAGATAGCAATTATATAAATTATTACGAAATTACAGCAAGAAGGACCAACCACTGTTAGACTACAACGAGTCAACATCTTCATCGCTGATCACACCTACTGTCAATATATATACAATAAAATAAACTACAACGTTTATCCCACGCAAATTTGCGCATATGATTCATCAATCGAAAAAGGATCGTGTCACGTAAGTTTTTCTTAAGATTTCAGTTCTAAATTATTGATTTCTCTATTTATAATATTCTCAGTAATAATTTAATCGTGATTTCTCAAAAAGAAGAAAATATTTGAAATTGTGATAAAGAAAATACACAAAACAACATTAAATTTGGATTAGAACTAATTTTGTTTAAGACATCTTGCTATTTTCAGGGTGACTCTGGTGGCCCATTGACTGTTGGAGGAAAACTCGTTGGATTGGTATCCTGGGCGAATGGTTGCGCCAGCTCCTCTTACCCTACTGTATACACGAATGTCATCGAGTACTTGGATTGGATTACAGCTAACGCAGTCTAAACTAATCTAAATTTTGCGTCTATCAATGATTCATACTCTCTCTTTCGTTTTGTATAATTTTGTAATTAAAATCCGGGGAAGAAGGAATTTTTTTTTAATGTAAAAGCCGATAACGGTGTGTCATAAGATTGTACGTAATAAGTGCCCTCAAAATTCTGTATATATTTTCAAAATAAATTAATTCTTTCCGCAAGAAAACACTGATGAAGTTAGTCTGCCTGTTAAAAGGCTGCAGCGAAGAATTATCGCGCGACAAGTGCCGTTCATTTTATCTATCACGATTATTACGAATCAAAATCCAGAGAGACTTTGATATAAAGCTCCTGGTTAGTGCAAGAGGTCGGATAGAACTTGGCTCTGTCGTGAAATCAATACGCCATGACCGCGCGAGGCTCACGTGTTGCTCTTATTTCCGGTAATACTTGGTAGAGCGGAAGCGGTCAATGCTCACATTTTAACGATAATTGACAGTTATAATCATAGCAGTCTGTATTTGATAAAATAGATCGTAAATAAAAAATATTCGTTAAACATGTCATTAGTAGCTCGTAAACAATCTTATTATTTCCTTTATGATGTCTGATGATGATTGTGGGAAAAAACAGAAAATGATACGCAATGTTTTTTCGAAAAACCAGGTGCACACACCTTCAAGAAACTTTACTGAAGAAAACTGAAGAAAAGATAATCAAGAATGAAAGAGGAAGCTGCATCCTCGAGAGGAAAAATGATATAAAAAATATATAACTTATCATATTTGCTTTTTTTCCTAGGAAAAATAGCAAATGTTAGAAACTTTTCAAATAAGAACAGAATAAGCTGCAACTGCAATGAGACGGATGGTACTCGACAAGAAAACGCGAACGCGGGGGAAATCGAATTCATCTTGAATTCTATTCTATCACTGTATTTACATTGCTAATGAAATATCATTTCTGCTTTCACCGTTTTCCGAGCACGATAGGTTGCTACGTTGCTCTCGGGTTTTGTTTTATGACAATAAAAGGGCCTAATAGTTGCTCATTTCCGACGGAGATGATTATTAAGTACGAACCTCTATTATGAAGTTACTCTATTGTGAATCTTCTTCAGAGAACACTTTATTGCTTTATTTAAAAAAATATCCTCGATAAAATGATGGAACTCAGTTTCGCTATTTGTATAAAAACTTCATAATTTTACGATTTTGTTGGTATAATTATAATAAATCTTTCATCAACCATTAAACTCTCAGAAATTAATTTGTCGCGTAGAGACGAACTAATTTCCGCTCCAGTTACGTAACAAATGTTATAAGCGGTGTCTCACCGTATCATGCATAAATATTCCCGAATAACTTCACGGTTCAGAACCGCATACTAAACACGGTATATTTACTGTCGGTTGGCCAAAATAAGATGTATAATATATAAGTACACACACATACTGCGAACACTATGTTCCATAGCCTAACTATCCGAGCAGATATACATAAACCTGTATAGTTTGCAGAGGAGCTTATATACCCCCTAGTTCTACAGGGTTAATTTCCACAATATTACAGCGTATTATGAAGTAGCCACATACAAAAGCATTATTCTCTTTCATAACTGTACATAAAGTAGTATTTACAATCACGTCAAAAGCAATGCCTTTGCGTAGCACGTAACTTTATGATAATACAATACTTAAATGCAAATAAGAGAAGAGAGCTTGGCATTACTCTCTGCTTTAAAAATATATAAATATAAAATAAAATATTCAAATATATATAAATATAAAATATACTCATGTGTACGATATACATACAAAGACTGCCAATTAAGTGTAAAAAAATTCAAAGGAACGACTTGTTAATTATAAATCTAAATTATTTATTATTAAAGTATAAAATCAAATCAAATAATTTTGCATAAAAAAATATTTTTAATGATTCGACGTTTATTCGCAGAGTTGTGATCTCAATCAAATCATTTATTAAATCTGCGTCCTAAAAATAAATAGAAATATTATATGATATATGTATATGTATAAGGAAAATATTTATTTTAATGTCTGAATTCTCAACTCTTTTCGCGATCAATTCGATATCGCGCTGTCTCATTCCTTTCCATTTTTTTCCCTTTTCATCCTTTTTTATACATCTTACATCTTCCCTTTTATTTCTTCTTCTGAACCCGCAAAGCGACCTTGGATGAGTCGTCGCGACAACTCAATTTTATTGGAATTTTATCGGAATAAGTACTAGAATATAAAATTGTAGGTTTCAGCTCGTGAATAAGTTAATGCTTTATATTAATAATGACAGGAAATAGCAAAATTCTATAAATTATGAAAATAAATCACGAATTAAATCAGGCTTATTTATAAAACTCTATTAAATGTAAGAAAAGTGTCCTCGATAATCAATTGATTGCAGGACATTTTTAATTTTATAATATTAAATATATAACTATAATTATATATTCAGTATAAATTTTTAAGTATAAATTTTGAAATAAACGCATTTTGCTACTTAGCATTGTATAGATGTTCAAAGTAACTTTCAGATATTGACAAATTTATTGTAAGTTCCACTTTGGTACTCTCATATACACATACATTAACCAATGAAGCATAATTTTCATCGAAATGTTTCCATAGGGCTTCTGGTTCATTCTATATAATGATTATATACGATCGTTAAATTTTGCAATAAATACTCACATATTTTCGATATGTACATAGCGACTATATGTGCTCGATAAATCTTGTTCAAATATTAAGTATTGACAAATATTTTGTGCTAAGAACAATTTATATGTTATGCAAAATTAATTTACAAAATACTTTAATGCGTCTACAAAAGCTTAACAATAAAAAAATTTTTATAACTAATTATATCTGATCTCAATTATAATAACAGAATATATATAATTATACACGGAGAGAATTTTCTTTTAAAATCTATCCTGAAAATATGGTAGTTGTGGTACAATATTTTAAAGATTTTTATTATGTATTTCAGTAAAATTGATCAAACTGATTTTATACTTTATTGTAGTTTTATTAATGAGAAATTTACATTAAAATTTTTTGAAATACAATTGTTCCACGCCTGTCATATTTTCAGGGTAAATTCTAAGAAAAAATTCTCTCTGTATAATAATGATTATTTATGAATACAAACATATACAAAATTTCTAACAATAAATTATGTATATGCCCTAGATAATAAAATTTGGAAATCGTTCGTACTAGTAAATATCACATGTCGATATCCGAGTGTCTGACTATCGTTGATTTTTACTACTTTTATAGTATTAAATGTACGAGATTTTAATTCTAAAAACATCTATGCAGTGTTTTGATACAAGAAATGTAATTATAGATAATATTCCTGTACACAACAGTCTTTAGATGATGGATTCACGATTATCGGATAAACTAAGTTTGCTTTTGCTATGGAAAGTAATTGCATTTAGAGGCAGCTATCTCGGAGAGACATGAAAGCTCATGTTCCAACTTACGATCGAGTAAATGTCCACATGGATTTAAACGAGCCTTCAAAATCATAAATCATAAACTCGAAACAACTCGCATCTTCAAACGTTATTCTAATATATATTCTTGATGTAGTCTAAATTCCTTTACCTCGAATATATGTAACGGATTGTACAATAATAATATAAAATATTCGCGACGTGCACTGAAATAAAAAATTGACTAAATATGGTATAATATTTTTAATTGGCTGTAGCAACCAATTTTTGATTGCGTTAGCCGGTTAGCCTATTGAAATCGTACTGACATTGCGGATAGATTAATGTAACCAAAAATTAACTGTTGCAGCCAATTAAAAATGCTATTTCATATTTTACCATCTAAATTGCTGCAACAGCCAATCATTTTTTTTTTCAGTGCAAAAAATACAGATTATAAATTTCAGACTTGTCTTATACTAAATCTTTCCATTTTATTATCGCAATGTAATTCCATTGCGTTTCCACTCAGCAAAATCCATTAAAGAAGTTTTCGTTCTATAAAAACGAGTTCCAGAGGAAAGCGTCACATTTACTACGAATTATAGCTTCGCATTTTTTCAAATTAAATATTCTTTTTAGGAATGTGTGCTTGAGAGTATCTCATCCGATATGGAATAGCACGTTCGGTGCATGGCATACGCAATTAAAATCTTGGCATCAGGCCAATCAAATCTTTTTGCTTTATCAAATATATATAGGATTTTTTTGTATTATTAGTACCAATGTTGTGAAATTTTTCTGTTGGATAAAAGCTTTATCCAACAGAATTGCATTTAACAGAATTTGTAAATATTAAATTTAAATAATTATAATTTATTCACAGCGTAGATATGATTAATGTTATTTATACTATCGCGATAAAGTTAAGATGAAACAACGTTACTTCCTCGTCGGAAAAAAGCAATTTCTTTGTTCCATACATAGTCCCTTATACTATTAAAGTTTGAAGAACTCACCTGCACATGAAGTCGACTATAGGACTTTTCTTTCATTCTCTAGAGACCGTTGGACTTTAAAATACTATTGTAATAGGATATATATATAAGAAAGTGAATTAAAGTTATAATGTTTACATGAGTCATCGTAGAATCTTTACTTTCTTTCCCTTACTTCACTTAAAAAGTAATTTAAACGAAACAATGAACAATTTTCACAATATCGTTTTCTATCTCTTTTTCTGTCTTATAAATATTATGGCTGGTAACATTAGAAATAAATTCAATGGAAATAAATTCCATTTTGCAAAATGCATTTAAAAAAATACATTTTTATATTAACAAAGTTTAAATACAGAAAAATATTTCGATTAGAAACAGAAATCTAGATAAAATTTATTCTTTATAGAATTAATTTAATATTATTCAAAAAAATAGTTCAAAAAATCATAGTTCAAAAAATAGTTCAAAAGAAAATTCCCTTTGCATTATCTCTATTTTACCTGCTAAATATCTGCTAAAAACGATGAAATACCTCATTCAAAGCACTATCGATACGCAATCCTGATTACGAGCAAGACCAAAAGCGGACACTAACCTGTTTGCGATGCGGCGTGACACACTCGTCCTTGGTACGCTCAAAGCGCTCAAATTTGAAGCTGTTGCTGCGGTAGAGCTCGTTGTCGCTCTGTTGCCTCCTGCAGAGCCGTCGCGTGAGCGCGCGTGGCCTGCAGGGCGCACATTCGGTGGCGAGCTCCCAGTGCAAATGCAGCATCGCGAGCTCGGCGGTGCAACGTGCCATGGCGCAGCCGGCGCGCCTCACGCGGCATTTAACCCGCTTTATACGGCCTTCAGGCTGCGGTTTATGGCCGCAGGGCTGCGTGCCGTTGCAGTTGCAGTCAGTGCACGTGCGGCGCGTACGGCGCGTTTTGACCGTATGCGAGCACGGCTTCGCCTCCTCGCCACACTCGCACTCACACGGCGCCTCGCCGCCGCCTGTGTGGGCGCAGCTTGATCTTTCGTCGGCGCACTCGCACGGCTGCTGCTGCTGTTGTTGCAGCTGCAACTGCGTGGAGGAGACAGGGGAAGACGAGGACTGTGTGGCCGCTCGACGACGAGTACCGACACCGCAGGTTGCGTGCCGACAAAAACGATCCGCGCACTCGCATCTGAAACAAAGAATGTGTTAAGAATGTAAGTATTATACGTATTTTTTAACAAAATAAAAAAATTACACAGATTTTTCTATATCGTGTTTAAAAGTTATACAACAAAAAAATTGGCGTCGATTTGATACCTAGATAAAACATTATTTTGATCAAGAAATATGAGACATGTTTTTAAAAAATAATTAGGATAAAATAAGAAAATAAACTATGAAATGGTATTGTTAAATATAAATATTGACCGTATTGAACTTTTCCGTATGTATTTATATAACATTTATTTTTATAAAGTACAAATTTCCAATTCACTTTTTGCATAGAAAAACTATACACCTGATACATTCTTAACGAGTGTGAAAAGGGTGAAAAGTATTTGCGAAAAATAACAAATAATGCTAAGTTAGGTAAATATTAAACTAAAAAAAGAACTTTCTATCTTTTCTATCTCTGAAATTTTTTTACTTTTAAATTTATGCTTAAATTCTAAGCAGAACCATAAGGCTCGTAATATATTTTTATAAAATCTGTAAGAATTTTTAAGTGCTTATATCTTTATACAATATTTTTACAGACAACTTCTAGCCATAACATTTGCAAGAAATCATAGATATTTACGAATAATCATATGTCTTATGATATATCTGTATACGCATAAAATTAAAATATTAATCATATGTTCTTACAAGTTTTACGAGAACACATTATGAGTCTTACGATTCTATTTAGAATTGACCCATTAGATTAAAAATTGTATTAAAACATTTGATTACTTTATTTCAAGCCATATGAATTGTAAACATTACTATTTTTGAAGCGTTCACGTCGTATTGATTTCTTTTTTCTGAGATTTAAATACTATACCTTAATTATACAAGTGTCTAAATATTAATGGAAAACATTGATTTTCACATAACGGTCGCGACATATTTCGCCCGAGATACTTGACAGCTGTAAGTTGGACCACAAAAGTCCTATTGACTATTGGAAATTTTATCTCGCACAATGATAAAACGGAAAGACTCCGCTCGAAGGTAGAAAGAAGACTCAGATCAAAATCTATGATTGCTTGCATATGACTCTTGCATATCGCGAATGAATTTCAGATTATTCAGATAATTGCATTGTAAATTGACGTCAATAATTTCATAATTTCATAATTTAATATTTTCCTTATTTTGGTGATAAATTATTTCTTGATTATAGATAAACTATTTCTTGAATTTCTTGCGCTTCCCATATTTCTTAATGAATAAATTTTTTTCATCAAGAAATTTATGTATTCAATACAAACATTGTAATTTCTCGTATTTATTTATACAAATTAACAGTGTGTAATGTATAAATTAAAATAATTACGAGAAACACCTTCGTGATAAATTCATGTTAATATGTCCATAAATGTACACATACAACAAATAATACATATTTACTCTGTAATTTAATAAAACTACAAGCGACTGATATTTATGAGTCAAAAATGAAAATAAATATACAATTCTCTGTATAATTCGTCGTAACACGTGGCACTTTATAAATCAATATTTCAGCATTCTAGAAAAGAGATAAAAGGACCGTGCGAATTGGCATTCTTGTCTTCAGACAGACAATTTCCTCCGTTATACCGACATGAAAATGCTTTCAAACGTTGCATTTCGCGTTTCGCCATCGTGAAAGCTCTTCCATATTAATTTTACTCATACATAGACGAGGTAATTGCCTTGTTTATTCTACAAATGAACAGCTGCGTCAACCTCGGATAAGTTTGACTACCGAGTGAACTTGGCAGGTCCTACTATACTAGCTACTTGCTTCCGCCTAAAATCTGCTTACGATTAACACAAGTCAACAGCATATTAGCTCCTGACCTCCACTATATACCTTCCACCCCTTTTACTGCGATCTTCAAAGCACAGTCTAACTTTATGTAATCGATCGTCATCTATCGCCATCAAATTACACCGAAAATTACCAATGAAAATTATCAATGAAAATTTCACGAATAAAAATGTCACGAATTAAAAAAATGTACAGATGTGAAAGAATTATACAATAAAACTGGAGCACTCTATAGATGTAATTGTTGCTCGTTATTTCCGCTCTTATCGATCGAACGAAGCAACCCAAAATTCCAAAGGGTACCATCAACAATAATTTTTCAAAAAAAAATTCACAACATAATACCACGAATGTCTACGCAAGTATCAACAATTTTTCAATTATATATCACCGGAAGGTCATTGGTCAACAAGTGCTATCGACCGAATAAGGCGGTGCGGTCTCTTCCATTCTATCGCGATAGCAATAATTGGAATCGCACCAACCTACCCCAATCTTCACAACCTACCCCAGCAACAACACAGCCAGCTGGTCTTTATCGTAGGGTGGAATAGATAATAGGCGTTACTACATCGTCGTATTAATTTACCTTCTGACCCTTCGCAGGACTGATCCTCGCTGTACATGCGGACAGGGCTGTGATTCCGGCGGACAGTCGCAGCTGATGGTGGCCGCGGCGGCGGCGGGGGCGGCGGCGGCAGAAGCCCCAGCCGGTCGAGTACGACGAACCCTGATTAGCACTGGATGCACCGGGCACGGCTGCACTTGACAGCCGCAGACGATGGTCTGGGGTCCGCCGCCGGAACTACTGCGGGATTTACGGCCGCCACCACCGCGCTTCGCGCGTTGGTCCACGTGCAACTGGCACGGCTGCACGGGGCAACCGCAACGAGCCGCGGCACCGCGACGCCCGGCACCCTGTACGCGTCTCCACACCCGCTCCATTCAAAGACCGGCGTGCGACTGACAATCAGCCGCCCCACACCATCGCCAATCCGGCGGATCGCGCGGGCGCGCAGCCGCTTCGATCTTCTCCGTGCGACCTCGGTCGTCCTCGGCGGATGATACCTCCGGGGGATGATATCCCCTTCTGGTCGACCGTTGCGTTGTGTTGCACGCTGGTCTATGCTACCTCTCTCGCGCCTTCGTACTGTGTAGTTGACGTTTCTTCCCTCCAAATGCGCGTGGGCGCACGGACAAATCCGGGCGTTTACCCTGAGTGAAGAGTCACCGATGACTTCTTAGTGAAATCTCGCTCGATAATGTCTTGCTTTGATATCTTGCGTGAATTTGCCTCCGAGTTTTAGAATCGGAAAGATCTTAGTAATGCAACATGATTCGAGAAAATATATAATGCTATATGCATGTTCATTTTTAATGACATCTGATTTCAGACTGAAACTTTATATATATTGGAGGATTTTTTAAAGATGTCTAAAAATTTTTATTTACAAAAATTTACAATAGTTATATATAAACATGATTGTGTTATCCATATGAAAGTATACATCCCCCTAGAAAACATTAAAAATAATCTTTTATTAATAATTATAAGCAAAGAAACGCTCTTATATAGAAAACCCTCATTTTTCTATATAAAATTCAACTAATTTTAATTCGCGTTAAGATCGTGTTGTACTTAAAACCGAAGCAGCAAATATCTGTTGTAGAATTCGTGGTATATTTTTCAGATCCATGCACACAAATGCGCGACCAGAAGGCATCTTCTTTATCAATCTAAAAATAATGTGAATATTTTAATTAGAGTATCGATCAATAATAAGATAGCAAAATTTTATTTATTTGTTAAACTACCTGGTCGCTTGATCACCCAACGATCCAATAAAAATAGCGTAAGCATTTACATCTGGATTAGACGTTAACAATTTTGCAAATCGTTCAGGAGAAATCCCGTAACGATCTAGATTCGCATCTGAGAGTACAACTACGATAGACTCGTCAGAATCCTCTTTCGCCAGACTCGCAATTGCGTGCTGCGTCGCCTCTAATGTATTATCGCCGGACATGCAAAATTGCGAATGAGCGTGCATCGTCTGAAAAGACAAATAATGGCTCGTTAATTAAATCGCATGGCTTATCCTTCCGTGAAAAAAACAACAAAAACAAATCTACTCGCCTTAATCACTTCCAGTCTTCGTTTATTGTCCGTTGGCGGTTGCGTGTGATCGACAAAGACAATACGGTAATCGTCGCCGGAATGACCAACAATGTCGTATTGAAATTTACCTTCGTAGCCATTGAAAGCCTCCATTACCATGACACAGGCCTCCAATTCGCGATCCAATCGACCATCGTAGCCGTTGAATCTGTACATACTGCCAGATACATCCGCGATGAGTTTCAGTCGCTTCGGCTTCAACTGGGGAGCGCCGATCTCCGGTTCCTTCTCCGCTCTACGCCGATAAATCGTTTTTTCACCCGTTAATCCCTCGATTAACTTCGTGTCGTCCAGCTCGCCCGACGTCTGATGCCTACACCATTGCCGCTCGTTGCTCTTCGCCTGCAGCGTGCCTATAAATAGTACACGAGCGTGCGACACATAATAAGAAATACTGATTTCCATAAAAGCCATATTCAGAGCTTAGGACGCTCACCTAATATGACCCTCAAGGCCTGCACTTGATTATGAACCGCGTCGCTGAACTGAGAGTATAGCTTGTGATCGTATTCGCTCATTTTTATATCCTTGAGTCGCTGCTTGAATGCTCGAAGACCCATCTCGCGAGCGGCTTTCTTTATATGTTCCGGCACTGCATTCTTCTCCTCGTCACTCAGTTGATGCACTGTGTGCCCAGCGTCCAAACGATATGGACCTCCTTTTCCGCCCAAACCCGCCGTATCTCTGCCTAGAATACATAGAATTTCATGTGCAATTTTGTTGTAATAGTTTGATTGATGATTAAGCCCAAAAAATATTTTAAAGCAGTGATGTATTATACAATCTGCGGCTCATCTGTGAGTTTTTTACAGTCCGCTGACTCATAGTCAAAAATATAAAATCATGTTTTCTATTTTATTAGGAACAAAATAAATATCATACGGAAGATTTTCTAATTCTAAAAATAGCTTTTTGAAAATGACTTAAAAAAGATTGCGCATCATTGCTTTCAGGTAACAATATGTAATTTCTCTTTAAATTTTATCTTGTTCATTATCTTGTTTGAATATACCGTACCTCCAGTTCCCCCGGCCCAAGTATTGCCACCCACGTGTGGTTCATTATTCTTATCGACCTTTCCATGTTTTGGCCCGCTGACATCCTGCCCCGAATACCTCTCTTTAGTGATCTGCATGTTTTCTTCGCCGGCGCCTATCATTTTACGCCACGCACCTAACGACTTTTCTATATCCGTGATGGATGTTTCCCATAAACGGACGCAACCACCGGCGTCTATTGTGACGAGACCTTCGTTCGACGTAAGTGACGCATAAAGCGGAAGGTCCTTCGCATACAGCCATTGCGTCAATGGCGAGACATTAACCGGCCTGCATAAAAGAGATTTAATAATTTTTCTGAGTTGTTCTATCGGAAACGATAAATGCGCAATAATAACAAAAGTGTACAAGGTCGTGAACTGGTGATACAACTGACAAGTATAATATAGGTGATTATATACGAAAAAATAAATCGAGAACGTAACATATTTTCATATAAGGTTTATATTTTTGAGAAAATCAATTTTTAATATTATATCTCGACTTAACAAATCTTGCAGTAGACTTTCTCTCCATGTTCGTGTTTATTACATTAAGTAATCAAACATACACATTAAGATATTCACGATTATTATTTTATAAATTGTTAAAATGTTACTTATTCTGTTAAATACACAATTCTCCTCAAAGTAGATTTCTATTAATGTTTTCTGACATGTTCTTGAATTTATTAATTAAAAATTCCGTATTCCATATTTATAAAGTCATAGAGAAAAATATTCTGATCACCAACAAAGAAAACGAACTGATCGTATGAATCATATAATAATTCTGGTTATCGCAATTAAATTTCTGTTTATTACGACTGGAATGTTTGATAACTTTGACTATAAGCGTCTGATTTGTATCTTTTTAATGGAATCTATCTGAATTCCAATTAATGCAACAAGACTTTGTTTCCATTTTTTCAAAAATAAAGCCCCATATTAAAAAAAATTGTTCTACATTTTCAATCTATTTTTTCATATAGAATCAACCCCCATACATCAACCCCCCTTCTCAATTGTACTACCAATTTACGAACATACAATATATAGTATACCATTTTATAATAGTATTATTTTTTCAAAGATATTAAAAATATAAATAAAGTACTACAGCTCTCATCTTTTATGACACGATCCTTATGTTTGTCGCAGGTTTACTTACTCTGGAATAGGTATGTATCGCAGTTTATGGTTTACCGTGTCAACTATCTCTAAGTAACCGGAAATTCCCATATGTTTTGTGTCCTTTGGATAAACCTCGTCGGGTACTTGACTGGGCGAGATCGTTCTAATCACTTGTCCATTCTGCGTAATGATGGGCGTTATGAAGCTGCGCGTTCTTCCTCTCCTTGGCCAGAAATGCAGCTCGTTAGAGCTATCTAAATCGGGGAATCCCGTCGCTATACCGGCGTACGTATTATTGGTCACCAGGAGTCTATTTGGACAGTCTATTTTCTGCTGAAGAGCTTTGCTCAGCTCCGTTTTACTCAGACTGCTGTTGCCACAATTCAAGACACTGCCGGTTTTTAGATCGACGCTGTTAGATTCATCTAACTCGCGTAACACATTCGGGCACGGGTCAGAATCCGAGGATTTCGTAAGAATGTACTTATTCTTCGACGCGTCCTGGATTAACCATTTTCTATTGGACGCGAGTAAGACTGATTCAATGTTGCATGGCAAACTCATCGAGTAAGCACACATGTTTTGTAAATCGACAACTTCGATTTTGTCGTGATCTTGTGTATACAAGACAATCAGATTATGCGACGGGAGTAAATCCGCCTTCATCTTCCATTGAAGATTTTTACTTCTGAAGACGTTCGATATTCTATCGGCAACGTCCAGAAAGGTTGAAAATTGCAGTTCTCGAACCGAACCTTCGTTTATATTTACCACAAGTATAGAATTGCTCTAAAATCGATCAAATGCGATGAACGTTACTATGAACAAAAGCGATTTGCATCCCTACTGAAAAGAATCATACAATTTCATAATAAAATCATGTAATTAAAACATATAAATCACGTATCGGATTGTTCTAAATCAGTACGTGATTTTTTTTTAAATTACGTAATTTGAAAAGTCACATAATATAATATGTTCTTTTTTCTTCTATTCTTATTATTCAATTCTTTAAAATTCGATGACTATAAAATCACACGATGGATGAAATTATTTCTAATATCATATTATTTTTCAAATTACATCATTTAAAAAAAAATCACGTACTGATTTGGAACAATCCGTTACATGTTTTTATTACATGATTTCATCACATTATGACATGATTTTTTGCAGTAGAGATTACTAATTTATTACTTACAGTTTCTTCGTGAACTAAAACGTCTCCAAGATTGTCGACCGCGATGTTGTAAAACGGCATATTGCCCCTAATGGGACTAATTAAACCTTGCAAAGACGTTTCACGAATCTGCTCAGACTCCGGCGTCATACTAAATATACTCAAAGGATTCGACGTGAGAGCATGTATCCTATCATCCGTGCCATCCCCTTTACTTCCATTCGCGACCGTTAAAGCAGTCACCGTGCTGTTTTCGCTAATGGGTATTGTCCAGTAACTTTGGAGTTCCGTGAACCAAGCCGATCTGGCTTCGACTCGATCTAAAGTTCGATCGTGTTGCGCCGGAAATGTTGGCGGTTTCAACTTAATGTACCTTTCCTGAACAGGTATATTTTGGAACGTGCTTAGAACATTCCAACTACCACAGATCTTCATTTCAGGCAAAGGAATTCTGCAAATGGAAAAGGGGGAAAAACATTGTGCGCGTGTGTGCGAAAGTTATTATCCCACGTATCTTTATTTTCTTCACATTTTCATTTATTACGTATAACAACGTATATCCATTGTATATCGCAAAATTAATAAAATACATTGTACAAATACAAAATTGTACAAATTCATTATATCTTTCTAATGCTTATGTCTACTTGATTCATAAATATCTTGCAAAATTGTTTTAAAGTACGTAAAGATTATCTTACTCCTTAGCTAAGGCAATATTGGTTGGACTCGTTCCAACAGGAATTCCATATTTATGAAGCACGGTTACCAAGGTGTCGAATATTTCCTGGCTATATCGATCAAAATCAAAGACATTGCGCACTACAGTACTCAACGGTTCATTTGGAAATTTCTACAA